ATTTTCTGAACTTATTTTAAATTTTCCAACTCAACCGTGCGTTTGAATGAACCAGTTTCTGGACCTGGAAGATTTCTAAAAAAAAAAATAAATAAAATCAAATAAAACCATAAATTATAAAAACCAAATGAAAAATCAAATAAAAAAAAGATTGCATCACCATCACCATACTTTTTTGGTTATAACATCATCATTACATTATCATCATTATTATTATCAATATCATTACATTATTATTACATTACATTACATTACGAGATTTCACCAAAACTACCACCACCTCATTCCCAACACCAACAGAACATTGTACCAAGACCAGATTCTGACAGCTACCTACGCACCTGACAGACTTCAAGTTTGTTCATTTGTTATAATTTTCATAACATAACAATTATAATAGTAACATAGAGGAGTTTTTAACAATATTATTTTATAAATAAGGCGGATATTGTTAAAAATCACAAAAAAATAATTTATGTTGAATGTTAATTAAAACACACGCTATTGAAAATGATTTATTAACCTACTCGTTCATTAATTAGACACACACACAACACACACACACCCACACACATACCGACAGGCTAATAAGGCTCAAATGTGCACACACACGCATACATACACGTACCACACACACAAACACACACAAACATTTACAAACTCACACGCACACACTTTTACACACATATATACAGACAAACACACACTCATATCCACACACACACAAACACATTCTTACACATAGATATACACACCACACACACACACACACACACACACACACACACACTCACACACAGTCTTTTAACTCAACCTCACTGAATCAACCGCGTTTGACGGCCATGCCTGGTTCAGCCATCAATCCATCCAGCGGGCAAGTTCTCCACGAAAAATATTTTCGATTTAAAATTTGATTTTGACTTGAATTGGTTTTGACGACAACCGCTTTTATTAATATCGTAAATAATAATAATAATAATGTTAATAATTTAATAATAATTTAATAATAATTAATAATAATCAAATAAATATTAATTTTATGAATTTATCTAGGCCGTCACTTGTTGCCACGGCAATCAGCAGGGAGATCGGTGACCCATATTTGGGCCACACCATTGGCCCGATAACTGGATATGGGGTTGGCTGTTACTCAATTTTTGACTGATTGTGAATAAATTATGGAAATTTAAGGCTGATTTTAGATAAATTATGTCAATTCTTAACTGTTTGTGAATAAATTATGTTAATTTTTGGCCCGATTGTGAATAAATTATGTCAATTCTCGACTGATTGCGAATAAACTATGTTTTTTTGGCCAATGGTAGATAAATTATGTTAATTCTCGACTGATTGTGAATAAATTATGTTAATTTCCGGCTGATTGTAAATGTAGTATGTTAATTTCACTAATATTCTGCTTTGTTTCTCTAAAAAAATATTGCGATTTTTCGGGCATAAATGTTGGTTAAAATAAGTTGTTTAGGTAAGTTGATGAGGGTTGGTTGGTAAAATTAAATCTTTCATGATTTTCGATCCCGAAACGATTCAAATAATATTACGATACGATACGATCCTAGACGGGATAATGACAGCCAAACAAATTTCAATCTCAAAACTTATATAGGACGGCTGGTTTTTTTTACAGATGACAAAAATTTTGATGAAAATGATTGGTGGCGATGTATGGTTTCTGGCGTTAATGATGAAGATTGTGATAATAATTAATGATAATAAATAATAATAATAATAATAATTAATAATAATTATAATAGTGGTAATAACAATAATGATGATACTAATTTAAGAATAATTTTTCGAAAATCGTTAATTGAAAAATATAAAAAAATTTCCCCCTTTAGACGGCAATTTACAGGGGAGCCTACCAGCGATTTGCACCTTACTGATCGACTTACGTGCGTGGTAGCTACTCGTCAGTGTTCAACAAATTATTACTTTTTCAATTAATTATGTGATTGATTGATTGATTGATTGATTGATTGATTGATTGATTGATTGATTGATTTTGATTGATTGATTGATTGATTGATTGATTGATTGATTGATTGATTGATTGATTGATTGATTGATTGATTGATTGATTGATTGATTGATTGATTGATTGATTGATTGATTGATTGATTGATTGATTGGCTGGTTGATTGGTTGGCTGGCTGGTTGGTTGATTGATTGGTTGGTTGGTTGTATGGTTGATTGATTGATTGATTATTTAAGCATTTATGATAAACTTAATAATGTATAAATATTTCTTTAAAATGTCTTGTGTTGAAATGTGTGCATGTTCAGTATTTGCATTTGTTCGTGTGTGTGTGTGTGTGTGTGTGTGTGTGTGTGTGTGGGCTTGTGTATACATGTGTGTGTGTGTGTGTGTGTGTGTGTGTGTGTGTGTGTGTGTGTGTGTGTGTGGTGTTTTGTGTGAGAGAGAGAAAAAGAGAGAGAGAGAGAGAGAGAGATAGTGTTGCTGTTGTTGCTATAGGTTTGCGAATTTTTTTGGTTTTCTAAATTCTCTTTTATCATTTCATTTCATTTCATTAGGTAGGAGTATGTATAAAATAGTTTTTTTTTCGTTGCATTCATTTAGAAAAACCCAAAATAAGTACTGAAATTTGAACTATAGTTGTTGTCTATTTTGAATGGAGTAAATGTTGGATATGCGTGAAAAATTAATGCATTCATGTGTAAACATGGGGAAAAAGGTGTGACATCATTCAACAAATCCTTAGTTGGTATTTCATTGTACATCTTCATATGTTGCACATGTAAATCTCATCCTACAAGATGATATTATATCGGCATATTGGTATAAGATATAAGCGTACAATCAAAAGTTAATTAAATTTTTAAAATAATCTTTTCATTTTCATTATTGCCAAAATATGTTAGTCTAATTTTTTTATTTATTCATTCAATTGTGTTTTTATTTATTTATTTATATATTTATTTATTCAGTTGTTGTTCAACATACTGTTAACAGAGAAAGCAAGAAAAATGAATTTGCTACAATTTTTTGAACGATTAATTATTAATATTTGCATAGCTAAAGCATTTCAGATTCTAAATTTAACTTAAATATTATTATTATTTTTACTGTTATTATCAACTTACTTTGTCTTGTTACATAAATGTGGTTCATGTCAGTGTTCACAACATAAAGCAGATCTGTTTGCTGTTTCAAGGTATCAACTAGTTAATATGTAATCATTCGTTCAACGAAATAACTATGGTCTTCTTTTAACTCGTTTGTACTCTTATCATGTAATTATTAATAACTTTACATTGTATGAACGTACAACAAATGTATGTTCATTACACCACGATATTACACACACACACACACACACACACACACACACACACACACACACACACACACACACACATCACACATCACACACACACACACTTACATAAAGCAACACATATGTAAATGCAATCAAACAAAAACGCACAAACACACATACAGATGGGTAGACATACAAACAATCACACATACACAAACACACACACAAACAGAATCTGATTTCTTTCTTACATACCTAATCATTGTGCAAAGGCTCGCAAATCTAGTCACTATATGTAGATATATATATATGTGTGTTGGTAAAAGACCATAATTTTTTACAATATTCTATAAATTCTACCGAATGTTTGGCGTTAATATGTTTGTAGTTCGTTTTCTCGATTTTTCTCACTAAAGTTTTTTGGAAAACGTTTAGTTTGTTAAAATTCAACTAAAAAAATTATTAAAATATGTTTATTTTGAATTTTATCAATATTTCTAACCCTGTATATTATTCTAACTTTTATAAAATATATAATGACGACAAGAAATTTGGTTGGAAATATTGAGAAATGTAATTAAAACTATCCAACGCTAGAAATTCGGTAGATTTCATAAATTACTGCATCAATTATGGTCTTTAACCAGCACATTATATATATATATATATATATATATATATATATATATATCTATATATATATATATATATATATATATATATATATATGTAATTTTATTTTGTAAAAATGTAAAGATATTAAGTGATGATACTGTGACTAACTTTCTACCATTCAGTATTAATAACCAAAAAATTTTACGT